TGGAGCCTCCAGCACGCCCCCCCGCCCCCAAGCGATAAGCTGCCCCTGCCCGTGGCACCTAGAACCTGCCTGGTATTGCTGGCGGGAGAAGGGGGAGGGAACCCACACAGCTCGGGCCTGTCTTCAGGGAGGCCTCCGAGCCAGCCCCTGCCCTCAACCCATGGCTCCCTCCCTTCCAGCCCAGGCCTCTACTCCTGCTCCCGGGGACACGGTCCCAGCCTGTCCCTGGTCCCCTCCCACATACCCTGGCACCTTCCAGTTCTCCAGATGGTCATGGCCTCCCTGCCCAGGCCCCTGTGCTGGCTCCCACCTCCCTCAGTATGAAGAGAGGCCCTCACTCCCCTGGGCCTTCAAAACTCCCCTGAGGCCAGACCCCGCCTCCCGCTTCAGCTCAGACCACTGCCCTCTCTAACTCAGCGCTTTGGGACACCAGCCCTCCCACCTCACACAGCCCTCTCACCTCTGAGCTTTTGCATATGCTGTTCTCTCAGCCTGAAAGTGCTTCCTACTCCACTCTCTACGGGTTACAGGGATCAGTCTCTACTCCAAACGGGAACAGCCCCCCTGCCCTGGGGCTCCGGCCCCAGCCCTCTGCGCCCGCCCGGAGAGAGGGCACCTGGCCGAGGCAGCCCCCGGGCCCATGCTGGCTCCAGAGGAGTGACCCGCACTCCGCGGGGGGACGCGAACAGGCCCTGGGACGGCCATCCTCCTGGGAGGGAGCCAGCGGCCACGGAACAAACTGCAGGTCGGAGGCACAAAGAACCTTTTCATCTCGGAAGGTCAGACACAGATGCTGACCTCCACCTGGAAGTCCAGAATGAAAGCAAACGCCGGGTCTCCGGGCTCGCGCCGGCTCTGACCTGCTTACAGGGATCTAAACTCAGGCCCCTTTGCACATGTCCAGCGAGGGGGCCGGCGTGGTGCTCATTTAAAACGCCGCTTGGCTGAGCCTCCAGCCGGAAAGCCCACCTGGTGTCCAGCAGCTCATCCCCGGCGTCTGATTAATAACGCGCACATAAAAACCCGTCCCGAGAGCCATAGGTTGAAATGAAGCAGGAGGGCTAATTGCTAATATAAGAATTAATATCAGCGAGGAGCGATCTTTCAGGCAGCCAGGAGCTGTAACGATGGAGAGCGTTTCCATGGCGGGGAAGCCCTGAGGTCCGAGGGCGGGGGGTGGCTCTGGAAGACGGACAGGTGGTCCGGAGGAGACTGGCCACACCTGCCCCATTCTAGCGCCACCGAGCTCCCCCGTGACTGTCAGGACGTGGGAGTCGGGGACCAGAACCACAGCCTGCGTCACCTTCCCCAGGGAGCCCCTGGGATCCGCACCCTGCCTCTCCTGCCCTCACCCCTGCTTGGCAAGATGGGGCTTCGTGCCCTCCTAATGCCATGTGTCTCCCGCTGCGGCCCTTGGCAAGCCAGTGGCCACTCTCCGGGACCTCAAGCTCCCGGAGGACGGGCTCCTCGTTGGGTCCCAGCGTCTTGCCTGGTGCTGGGAGCATGACTGGACTCAGTACATGTTTGCAGGATGGGTGGAGGGGGAGATGGATGGGTGGGTATATGGAGGGATGGATGGATGGATGGATGGATATGAGAGGACCTTAGGAGAGACACAGAATGTCTCAGTGCAGTGGGCCCCGGGGCCGCCTTGCGTTTGTGTTTCTTTTGTGCTGAGATTGGCATCGTGTAGGGAGAGGGATCTGGCCCAGAGTTTGAGGCCTGGCTGTCATGTTGGTCGTACGTGGACAAGTCCCTTCTTTTTATTTTAAGCCCCCTTTGCGCCTGCACAATGGGGGCGGTCCTCCCTGCTCGGCCAGCCACGCTGGCTGTCCCCAGGCACAGGGAAGACAGCAAAGCAGGAATGACCTGGAAAAGGATAAGGGCCCTTTGTCCGCGGAAAGTGCGCGGTGTGGAGAGGTGGGACCGTGCACTTGGCTTTCTCTCCCCCTTTCAGATTTCTTCTCATGCAGCTGTGATGTTACTACAGCAAACAGTGAACCTGTGCGGGCATCTCGAGCAGTTCCAGACGGAAGCTTTTATTCCGTTGACCCAAAAAATGGCTCTTTGGTACCTGAACGCAGAGACCGGTGGGTGGGGGCAGGCGAGGAGAGGCGAGGTGGGGGTGAGCAGAGGCGGCCTCATGGGGGGAGTGCCCAGGAGCTGGCCAAGGAGGCGGGGGCCAGAGAGGGCTCCCGGGTGGCTGAGCCCTTGGGGCCCCACAGATTCATCTCGTCCTTGGTCAACTTGACTGGCCACAGAGAACGTCCACGCGCCACCGCTGACTTCGTCTGCACTGCGTGGTTTCGCATACTCGATCCAGTCGTGTGCCCACTGGGGACTCCACGGCTCGGCCGGTAGGTGTCCGCCAGAGGGCGCACTTACACATTTGTTCCCGGCCCGGTGAATACTAGGAGGCTACTAACACGCGTCCTGGTGCCCCCACACGTGCAACAAGCTCCCACCTCCAAGCACGCCCACCCACCAAGCTGACCTGGGAACACACATGCACCCCGACGCCGAGAGGCACCCCTCAGCCACGGCAGCAGTCAGGACCCCGTGGGCCCCATGTGTACGCCTGGCTCCCGGGGAGCTTTGCAGGGCCATGGGGCAGGCACAGGTAGGGGCAGCGGGGAAGGGCATACCCAGGATATACTCAGCTGGATGGGCCATAGCTCTGCTTGAACCCTGGGCTTTCTACATGAGGAAACACCGTGGGGAGTTCACGGGGTACATTAATTAGGCACCTTCTGTGTGCAAGGCACCGAGCCGGCCACGTCTCAGTGAGCAGTCTCAGACAGCAGAGCAGTCCCTTCCCTGACCCTGGAGATACTGTGCCACTGCTGGTTTGTGCGACCACCCACCAAGGCAGGAGGTGAGGGGTGAGGTTAGGTGGGCTGTTGCCGGAGGGGGAACAGCGTGGGGTTTGGGGGAAGTGGTGGAGACAGGTGGGTGGGCCAGGCAGGGCCAGGCCTTGTGGGGCCCTGGAGGCTGCCCCAGGACCACTGCCCCGACCCCGAGGGCTGTGGGAAGGGCCTGATGCAGCGGGTGAAGCTGCCTTCCTGCATTCATAGTTTCTGAACTCTCTGTCTTGGGGGACCAGCGGCTGCCTCCACGCGCCCGCCCCCCCTCCGACCCCCACGGTATAAAAGTTTCCTCGCCTCGACCAGGGGGCAGATGACCTCATTGGACTCTTTCCATCTCTTGCTTTCACAGAGGAATTACCGTTTATAATTGGATGGAATCCCACAGGTGCAGGAGCGATCAGAGCCCACACTGGAGCCCAGCGTCACCCCCCATGAGGGGGCTCTGTCCTCATCTTCCCTCCTGTCCAGCCCCCACCCTGCCCCTTCCTGGGGGCCACTCCGCCGGCCTGCTCACACCTGCTGTCCCCTGGGGCTTAGTGGTTCTAAACCTCCTTGCTCCTGGGGAAGCTTGTCCCCAAACCTGCCCCATCCTGTGGGCCCATCGGCCTGCTCGGCCTGGCCAGCGCCGCCCCTCTGAGTGCAGCCCTGCCAGGCTGGGTGCCCCGTGGGCAGCGACCCCCAGTCTGGGCTCTGGGCTTATTAAAACACATGCCCTGAAAATTCGTTTTTATTTGGAACAGCCCCTGACAATAAGCATTTCTCAAACCCGCCACCTTCAGCCCTACAAAGCCAAGTGCCCAGATGCAGCCGAGCCCATCTGGATCCTATTTCAAACCAGAGCTGACACTCAGATGTGTAATGAAAGCACTTTCCAAAGAGGGGCTCCTGCAGGGGGAGTCGGGACACTGGGGCAGCGGGGCCTCCGCCAGGCCAGTGAGAGGCAGTGGGTTTGTTGGGATTCCTGCAAACAGCCGGCCCTGCCCCCAGGACTGTGGAAGGGCAGGTGGGGCGCGGAGCCCTGACCCCAGCCTGGGGAGCCGGTGGCCGCAGGAGGGAGGCCAGGACGCAGCTTCCCTGGTCCCCTGATGCTCCTGCTCGCGAAGGGCAGCGGGACGGCAGCGCTTGTTCTGGAAGCCGAGGCCACGGGCCCAGTGGGGTCCAGCTGCTGGGGGAGCGGAGCTCTGGGCTGGGGCAGGGCCCCTGCAGCCTCAGGCGCTCTCAGGACTTCCTTTCTCTCATTCCCGTGGCCCCCTCCCCCGGAAAAAGGGGAGCCAGGGCTCTGGGGAAGGGACTGTTTGTTACTGGGTTTGAGAAGAGAAGGGAGGTGGTGGACAATGGTCCCAGGCCCTCCCAGCTCATGGGAAAGTGCCTTCAAGAACAGGGTGCCAAGGGATGGGAGGAGAGGGGTCGCAGCCCCAGCAGCCTGTCCCCGGGGGGCTCCTAATTCCAGGGTTTAATCACTTCCTTTGTTTTTTGGCAGGTGAGGAGGCAGGGAGTGGGTGAGGAGGACTCCTATTTGGACAGACAAGGCCAGGAGGTGAAGCAGGAATAACCCATCCCTCACCCCCGCCCCGGCCTCCCTTCGAGAAAACCTCTCTGCAAACAGGGGCAGCCAAGCAGGACCGAGCCCCCGCCCCCAAGCATCTTCCCAAAGAGGGGCCGGTGGGGCCTGACAGCTCCGGTGGCGCATGTCACAGCTCAGCCCGCCGTGCGCATCTGAACTCCTCCGCGGGTAATGGACTCCCGCCCGCCCCCGGAGACGGAGACGCAGCCCGAGTGGCAGGAACGCCGCGTCTTTGGAGAGTGGCTCCCTCTCGTCTCTGTCTCAGCAGAGCGCTCCCTGCACGGGAACCCATTCTGCCAAGTGACTTAAAGGGATTAAAAAATAAAAAAAGACCTTGGTAAAGAAAAGGGGGTCAAAGCCACGCAGAAGCCTTTTGGAGGAGGTGGTGGCCAGCAGACAAAGAGCACAAGTTGAAAGAGGCAGTGAGAGGCCGCCCGCCCGCCCCGATGGGCGCCGGGCCGTAGGGCATGCCTGGGGCGCAGGGGCCCAGGACACCCGCAGGCCGTGCACGGGAGTCGGGGCTCCGCCGGGGAGAGGCCCGCAGCGCCCAGGGCCCAGGCCGTGCAGAATGCTGCTCTGGACCCGCAGCCCTGCCTGACCTGGAGGAGCCCAGAAGAGTCCAGCACAGGGCCGCCTCCTGCACGCCGGGCGGCCCCCAGCGCCCCAGGTCTGCGGTCTGCACCCCGAGTGCCAGGGCTGAGGCCGGAATGTGAGCGTGGCCCAGGCCCACCTGGACCCAAGCGCGGCATCCAGAGCGGCCATCCCAGCCAGACCAGCGGCTCAGCGAAGGAGGTGAGGCGGACGGGAAGGGCCCCACTGGTGCAGGCAGGCCTGGGGCTCCTGGTGCCCAAGGAGGGCATACAGAGAAACAGCTGGCCCACCCCTCCCCAGGCCGGGTCAGACGGGGGGCACAGAGCTCCCCAGCTCTGTAGCTCTCCCAGCCACCCACACACGTAGTGCAGGCCGCTGGCCACTCTGCGTGCCAGGGGAGGGCTCACCTGCTACCTGGTGGCCCCGTGCTGCGGGCTCTGTCCCAGGGTGGGTGGGCCCAAGGTGCAATGGAGTGGTCTCTCAGGAGTCACCGCTGCACACCTTCCGGGCCCGGCTGTCCTTGGAGGTGGGTCTCGCTTTGAGCCCCTCTGAGTTCTGCCCAGAGGGGGCAGCAGCGAGGCCGCGGGGAGCAGAACTTTGGTGGCTTCAGTGCTGGCGAGGAGGACCCAGCCAAGGCCCCGCTCCCGCTGGCCTTTGGGCAGCCCCTGCTCGGCTTCCGGCTCAGCCCCAGAAGGGCAGTGAGTGCGAAGATGGATGGGAGCAGCTGGCTGGGATCCCCAGGCCTGGACCCCTAAGGTCTGCCAGGGCTGGGCCAGCTGGGGGACAGGGTCCTGTCCTGTCTGCCCATCCCCAGAGGCCAAGAGGGAGGACTCAAGCCTCCCCAGACACAAATCCTGGCAACCTGGAGCGGAGGCGGCGCCCTGGGCAGGGCAGGGAAGCCCCAATTCATTAACAAGATGGAAAATGACACTTCCCCGCGTGCTTCCCCAGGAGAGGGGCTGATTTATGACGGCTCCGGGCCGGGACATTCGTCAGCGCGGCGTGGCGCGCACGCCGTCTGCGGGGGCATTAATAGTGTGTTATTAGCCACCAGCGTGAAAGATGCCCTGTGGATGGGCTATTTGCTGTTATTTATTGTGGAGGTGCCAGCCCAGCAGCGGGGCTGGCTGGAGCCTGAGCTTGGCCCCTGCCCGACTGCCTCCCTGATGTTTGGCCCCCTTCTCCTCCCAGCCCCGTCAAGGGGGTTGGGGGGGGGGGCGTCATCCCTGGGGCTGAGGCCAGGACGGGAGGGGGCAGCTGGCTATGGTCCCCCAGGCCTGTACCCCAAATATTTATGGAGAACCTGTTCCGTGCCCGGCTCTGCCTCGAAAATGGGCTGGGGAGCCGTCGGACGTGGGCTGGCAGCTGGCCTTCCAGGTGTGAGCGGCGTGACCTTAGGCCCCTCCCTGAGTGCGCTGCCCTCTGTGCACTAGAGGCCCAGGCTCCACAGGGTGTGGCCGGGGTTTGTGAAGGGCTGGGGTGCAGCAGGCGCTCAGGCTGGCCATTTACTGCCACTACCTGGTCTGACCCCAGCGGGCCAGAGGGGCTGACCCCCGGGGGGGGGGGGAAGCAGCCCCCATGAGACCCTGCTTCAGCCGGACACTGTCCATCATCGCCTCCCGTGCCCACCCCCAGGAAAGGGCTTGAGAGGCGGTGCCAAGGCCGGAGGAGGCGGGCAGAGAGAGGGCTGTCCACAGCGGCTGGAGAGTTCTCTCTGCCCCGGGCCCGTCCGTCCCCTCCCTGGGCCTCTGTAAACAGCCGATGATCTGCGAGATCCTCTCCCTCCCCAGCCCTGAGAGAGGGTTCCCCCAACACCCCGTGCGTATCTGTGGGAGTGGGAGGGAGGGGCCATCTCTAAGAAAGGGGGGCCGGCCTCTGACGCCTGGAGGGGGACCTGCAATTGGGCAGTTCCAGGCTGGTCACCCCATATGAGAGGAGATGAGTGGGGACGGCAGGGGTCTACCTTGGGTTTGCGCCCTCCCAGGGTGGGGCCTCCCTAGCTGAGCGGCAGGTAAGACACTGGGAAGGGGAGAGCAATGGACATGGAGCCCAAGGCCTGGGCTTGTGTCGGCCTCCCCACCACGTGCTGCACAATTCAGACCAGGCCCTCTGCCTCTCGGGGCCCCATGGTGGAGGCCCCGGGCTCTCTGTTACCTCCTGGGTGGGGCTGACGGAGGGCCGGCCTCTCTCTTCTCTCCTACGGCCGGGTCCTGGGATTCAGATTCTAGGGCTTCCCTTTTGGCGAATTCATTCATCCATCCATCCATCCATCCATCCATCCATCCATCCATGCATTCATCCATCCATCCATCCATCCATCCATGCATTCATCCATCCATCCATCCATCCATCCATGCATTCATCCATTCACAGATGTTTATGGGCACCCCCGGGCCAGGCTGTGGGCGAGGCTCATGGATAAGACAGAACGTGGTAGGAGTTTGCATTCTCGAGGCAGGGTTTGCACAGTCAGCTTATCCTACATACTGGGGAGGGGGGGGTTCTCACCAGGACCAGGGCCTGCATGGTGAAGGTGCCCCACCTCTCCCCAGCTCCCAGCCTCCGCCACATGGTCGGCAGCATCGCCAGACCTCGTCTTCCCGGGTCACCCGCTCCTCTCTCGGCCCCTGGCTGCCAGGATCCCGGCTGCTGAGGAGGCCGGCAGGGCAGGCCCAGGGGACCACTGCCCTGTTCGCTGGGGCTGTCCCAGCCCTGCAGGTGCTGCCCTCCCTCTTGCTTCCTCCCAGCCCCCCAGAATAAAGGCCCTGGGGCCCCCTCCTACCTCTGAAACTCCCCAGCCGCTCCTTTTCCTTCCTAAAAGGAACTGAGCCTAAGTCTAGGCAGCTTCACTAAAAATGCACACTGACGGGGAAGTGTCAGGTGTGGAACCGCTTATTAAATGACGCCGGAGAGAAAGAGACAAAATTACACGTGTCTCCTTTCATCCCCCCCTCCCCCTCCTGGCCCCGGACAGTGTCATATCGAACACTGTTATCAATATAATTAACCTCCTAAGACCCAATTTTAAAGTCTTATTTTTAAAAGCGATTTACATTCTCTGAAGTTCAGGACACCCCGGCCCCCGGCCCCGCCCAGGCGGCCTGCGAGGGGAGATGAGCTGGAGGTACGAGTACATTTTTAGTGGATTTGCATACCTGCCTGCAATTACCGCCAGTGATAACTACTGATGCATAATGCATGCAGCATGAAATTAGAAAAATAATTAACTTCAGGCTTTAAAAGAATCCCCACCCCCACCCCCCACGGATTACAAGTTCTCAATGGCACCAGTAGACAGATCAGGCGTGGAGTTGTGCAGTGTGGGGTGAGAAGGGCCTTGAGGGCCGTGGCATCCAGCCCCCTCCCGCCCTTCCCGGGGGAGGGGCGTCCTGGAGGGGGGCAGCTCCCAGGCCTCCCTGGGCAGAGAGGTAGAGGCTGCTCCCCCCTCTGCCTCTTGACCTCCCTCCCTCCCTGTGGCTTATAACCGGGGAGGTCGTGTGGGCTGGTGAAGAAGAAAATGTGGGGCCCCTCATTATTTAAACAAAGATTTGCTGAGGACCCACCACAGATATGGAGGGGACCCTGCCTTGGTGGATCCCCCCCGCCTCCCCCTTCCTGGGGCTGAAACTGCTTCTGTCCCCAGTCTGCCCTGCACACCTCGCTCCTGCCTGGGGCCCTGCTCTGCCAGTGGGTGAGGGCCTGGCAAGGTTTAGGAAAACACAACAATTCTTCTTGCTGAAGGGAAGGCCTGGGAGGGGGGGCGAGGGGTGTCCTCTGTCCCGCCTCCGCTTCCCGGCCCTCTTGTGTCTGCCTTCCCTCTTCTGAAGCTCAGCCAGGACTAGTGGGCAGCCGGCCTGAGTGGCCATAGGAGGGCCTTGGGGTCCTCCCTGGGGACAGTTGGGGCAGCTCTTCTTCCCAAACCACCAGGCCTGTGCTGGGCACTCCCCGCAGCCCTCCCTCAGCGGCACGTTACAGATGAGGAGACCGAGACCCAGAGAGGCATCACCGCCGGTCACGCCGCCGGGGACTGGGGAGGCCAGGTTCTAACCCAGCGCCCTGCTGTCCTCTCTCCTCACACACCTCTTTCTTGGAGTCACCGCCTCCCGGAATTCTCAGATTCCTCACTGGTGCTGATGGGCCCGCGCTGCTGCCGGGATGTAGGGCCAGTGCTCCCACCCAGCCGGGGGCAGGGGGGGCGGGGGGGCTGAGGAAGCACAAGGTGAGGAGTCCTCCAGGTAGCAGCGCTCCCAGTGCACCTGGAGGCTCAGCAGGCAGGGGAGTGAAGACGGGGCTGGTGGGGAACAGAGGACAGAGACAAGCAGTTGACACAGAGCCTCGGCCAGCGTGGCTGGGGCAGCGGGAGAATCACAGCAGCTGTGAAACCTCAGGCATATGTCACATCCAGGCTGCCCTTATGAGGGGGTCCTTTGCACGTATTACCTTAATGCATCCTCAATGGCCACACTCATAGATGAACTGAAGCTCAGAGAGGGCAAGTAACTTGCTCAGGGTCACACAGCCTGGAGGTGGCCGAGGCAGGACTCAAACCCAGGTTTCTCTGTCCTGGAAGATGGCAGGAGCTAGTAGCAAAGGCCAAGAACGGTGTCCCTCGGCTGATAGGGGTCTGGACACCTCCAGTCTGAGCCACCTCACTCCTTCCCTCCCCTCCCCCCAACAGCAGATCAAGGATCCTGCTGTCAGTCATGGAGCTGGCAGGCCATAACTCACACCATGCTGAAGTCTGTGGGACCCGTGCAGCGATGACAAGTGGCCCCGTAAAAGACAGGCGATTTACCGGGTTTAATTTCATGGCCACATAAACCATCCAACGCACAACTAGGGAATAAAAAGGCTGCCTAGCACCTGGGCAATTAATGGGCTTCTCCAGCAAGGCGTGCTCCCCCCACCCCCAGCCCAGGCCCCGCCCTACTCTCCCAGAACCAGGGGGCTCAGAGTTGGTGGCCTTGCGGAAGGGCTAGCAGAAGAGACTTGAGCCAAGATGGATGAGGCCCACGGATAGGGGAGCAGAGAGGCCTTGGGTCCCTGCCTCCCAGATGCTGGTTGGTTATCCATCAGGCATCTCTGAAATATGCAATTTACACTCCGTCATTGATGCCGGGGGCTCTGGAGGCTGCCGTCTGCAGCCATGAGCTGAGTGGGCACCGGGAACGGACTTCCACGCCAGAGAAGGCGGCGGCTGGCCTTGCCTTTGGCCTGAACAAGCCTGCCCCCTGCTCAGGGCACTGGCCTGGCACAGCAGAGCGCAGGGGCCGCCGCATCCCCGTGCCAGGACGCAGCCTTGGCAGACCAGGGCGGGGGGGTGTCCTCTGACCATTTGCTGGGGCCCAGGCAGGGGCTCCCCCAGGCTTGGCCTTGACCCCTGGGACCGAGGGGGTGGCCTTGGGTGGGCCTGCACCTTCCTGTCCTCAGCACCTGCCCTGGCCCTGTCCGTCTGCTCATAAGCAGCTTGGGACAGGACCTCCAGGCTCCATCACCTTCAAGTTTTGGCTCCGTGCAGGGTAAGGGACAGATGTGCAGCCAGAAACCCGGGCTGGCTGTGACCCTGGGTAGGCCCCTCCCCCCTGAGCCTCAAGCTACGCGGCTGTAAAATGGGCCGGAGGACGCGTGTGTGTATGACAGGGTGAAGGTACAGACATATGCCTGTGAAGGAGGTGGGTGAGGTCTGGCTCGAGGGCTCCCCCTGCTGCCTGGGCTCATTCTTGTCCTCTGGAGGTCGGCCTACCTAGGTCCATGGGACCATTCCCTGCTCTGAGCCCATCCGTCCTGTGATCTGGGCCAGGGCCCTTCCCAGTCCCGGGTATGAGGACAGGTAGGGGAGTCAGTGGTCAGATAAGGTTGGGCAGCCTGGGATACCCAGGCTCCGCCCACATCTTACGCGGTGGCTCTCAATGCCGCTGAGGGCAGGAGGGGCTGGGGAGCATGGTGCGAGGCTCTGGGTGGGAGATGAGAGAGGGAAGTGGCCGGGGAGCCTGGTCAGGGAGACAAAGACGACAGCCTAACCTGCAGGAAGCACAGACCACCTCCACCTCCCGAGGGTGGGGTGTGAGTGGGGTGAGGACCGTAGCCTGGGCTGGGGGCCGAGGTCCGAGGCTGCAGTCCTTGGTCCCTCAGGCCGTGGGTGCTGGTGGAGGGAGCCTGAGCTGGCTTCACGGGCCCCGATGCTGGGCATGGCTCAGCCCCCCTCTTCCCCCTCTGGTTCCAGGTGCAGACCCCCGGCACCCTTCCCCCCGATCCTCAGTTGCTTCCAGCCAGGTGTCCTGGGCTGGCCCTTGACCTGCCCTGGGGGACCCTGTAGACAAAGCTTCATGCTGCAGACAGGCCCTGGGCGGGTTAGTGCATTAGCGGCGGGCGAAGCCTGAGATCTCTCCAGAAGCCTTGGAGCTGCAGGCTGGGCAAGGCCCCTGTAAATGCAAATGGTGTGAATGTGGGGGGCTCAGGTGGAGGTGCTCCCACGTTCTCAGTCCCTTCTGTACTCGGTGGTCACTGATGCCAGGCCACGGCAGGCCACCACAGCCCCTGGCCCCGGCCCTCGCGCGCCCGAGATGTGGTTGCAACATTAAAACACGATAGTCACCGAAACAGCATGACCCGCAGTCCACAGACACTCAGCGCTTTGGGCCTGGTGACCAAGATTCTGGCCGAGGCTCCCCCTTACCACTGCTCCAGTGGGCGTGACTAAGTTCACATCTCATCTGTGAGATGGGAATGAGAAGGGCTCTGACCTCCTGGGTGCTGGGAGGATTAAATGACTTAATAATTCCTAAAGCTCTAGGCGAGGTCTTCATTAGAGGATGAGCTACTGAACAGACATCTGTTGGGTGACTGGGTGGCCAGATGCATGGATGGATGAGTGAGTGGGGGATGGACAGACAGATGAGTGAGTGGGGATGGCGGATGGATGGACGGACGGATGGATGGATGGATGGACGGATGGATGGCTCAGTGAGTGGATGGGTGGATAGAAGGATGGATGACAAAGCAGACGGAAGCTCTATTGGCATCAGGAAGCCCAGCAGAGGAGAGGGCATCTGAGCCTGGTCCTGAAGGGTGAGGAGCAGTTTGCTAGACGGAGAAGAGCAGTCCTGGTATAGAGACAGAGAAGGAAGAGGGTGTGACAGGGCTGAGACACGGAGACACTTGGCCGCTAGGGCGTGGAGTGAGGCCCCGACTGGCTCCGCGCTGAGCGTGTCCGGATTCTGCTCTGTACACCAGGGCTGCCCCGGCCGGGGCCTCGGTGCAGGCCCGAGGGGCCACTGTCCCACCCCTGAAAAGCCTTTGTGAACCGGGATTTATACAGCAGGCCTTGGCCTGCCGCGTGGAGATACCTTCCCCACTGAGGTTGAAAGATAATTTCTCTTTAATTGCTTTTTTTTAAAAAACCATTATGAACAGTAAAATAATGAAAAAGGTCTATGCTGCAATTTTTCCATTTGTGAAAACTGAAATTACACCTCCAGGCAATTCCCTCAGAGCATGGATCTCTCCCTCCTTTTGTGTCTCATTTCTTTAAATGTAACAAAAACATATACATATATACACATTCAAGTTTTGTGGCTTTCGGAAGGGGACAAGGTGTGGAGTCATCTCCCACAGAGCGCAGAGCTAGGGAGGGCGCCTCTGATGAAGAGAGATTTCTGTAAATACGCGAGAAAGCAGTTCTGTTGACACCTTCTTCCTCTGTCTATAAAATGCACGAGTGACACAGGACATGTTTTAACACCAGACAATGAAGCGCCCGCTCTCCACCGCTCAGCAGTGACGGCGCTGGCAGCTCCTTTTCCGCAGGTTCTGGTCACGCCCCCCCCCCCCCTTTGAGCTCGCAGGCCTCCCCGAAACCAGCTCTCCCGGCAAACCCTGGGCCTGAGCCAGATGTGAGCTCCTCACTCCAGTGAGAAATGGCTCGGAATCCATAAAACACGCCCTAAATCCATCCCATCGACATGGACCGCCACGCGTGGCATTAGCCGTGAAAACTGGTTCAGTGTGAAATCTTGAAGGAAGAAAGCGGAGCTGCGGGGTGGCCGTTGCTAGATGAGCCTCGCCGGAGGCTCAGGGTCGCCATCCAGGAGGGCAGGCAGCCTCCGTCTCATTCACGGGCAACGTGTCACTCCCACTGAGGTTTGAAGTTAGCCAGAGTCCACCTCAGCCTGAGTGGTCACCTGTGACATAACCTGGGCACTGAGGCCCGGGTGCCTGTGCCTCCAGGCTGGATTTCTGCCCCACCTCCCCGCCCGCAGCGGCCTCTTGGTGGCACGCGGGTGGCCGCTGCGAGGCGACGCCCTCTCACCGCACGTGTCTTGTGCTCCTTGCAGGTGTCGAGGCCCCAAGTCAGGTGAGGCCCGGTTCCCCCCGCCATCCACCATGGTGGTGGCACACCCCACTGCCTCCGCCACCACCACTCCCGCTGCCACGGTGACGGCCACCGTCGTGATGACCACGGCCACCATGGACCTGCGCGACTGGCTGTTCCTCTGCTACGGGCTCATCGCCTTCCTGACGGAGGTCATCGACAGCACCACCTGCCCCTCCGTGTGCCGCTGCGACAGCGGCTTCATCTACTGCAACGACCGGGGGCTCACCTCCATCCCCCCCGACATCCCCGACGACGCCACCACCCTCTACCTGCAGAACAACCAGATCACCAACGCCGGCATCCCCCAGGGCCTCAAGACCAAGGTCGGCGTGCAGGTCATCTACCTGTACGACAACGCCCTGGACGAGTTCCCCGTCAACCTGCCCCGCTCCCTGCGGGAGCTGCACCTGCAGGACAACAACGTGCGCGCCATCGCCAGGGACTCGCTGGCCCGCATCCCGCTGCTGGAGAAGCTGCACCTGGACGACAACTCCGTGTCCACCGTCAGCATCGAGGAGGACGCCTTCGCCGACAGCAGGCAGCTCAAGCTGCTCTTCCTGAGCCGGAACCACCTGAGCAGCATCCCCTCGGGGCTGCCCCGCACGCTGGAGGAGCTGCGGCTGGACGACAACCGCATCTCCACCATCCCGCTGCACGCCTTCAAGGGCCTCCACAGCCTGCGGCGCCTGGTGCTCGACGGCAACCTGCTGGCCAACCAGCGCATCGCCGACGACACCTTCAGCCGCCTGCAGAACCTCACCGAGCTCTCGCTGGTGCGCAACTCGCTGGCCGCCCCGCCCCTCAACCTGCCCAGCGCCCACCTGCAGAAGCTCTACCTGCAGGACAACGCCATCAGCCACATCCCCTACAACACGCTGGCCAAGATGCGCGAGCTGGAGCGCCTGGACCTGTCCAACAACAACCTCACCACGCTGCCCCGCGGCCTGTTCGACGACCTGGAGAACCTGGCCCAGCTGCTGCTCCGCAACAACCCCTGGTTCTGCGGCTGCAACCTCATGTGGCTGCGGGACTGGGTGAAGGCGCGGGCGGCCGTGGTCAATGTGCGCGGCCTCATGTGCCAGGGCCCCGAGAAGGTCCGGGGCATGGCCATCAAAGACATCACCAGCGAGATGGACGAGTGCTTCGAGGCGGGGCCCCAAGGCGGCGCGGCCCATGCGGCCACCAAGACCACCGCCAGCAACCACGCCTCTGCTACCACACCCCAGGGCTCCCTCTTCACCCTCAAGGCCAAGAGGCCGGGGCTGCGCCTTCCCGACTCCAACCTTGACTACCCCATGGCCACGGGCGATGGCGCCAAGACCCTGGTCATCCACGTGAAGCCCCTGACAGCGGACTCCATCCGTATCACGTGGAAGGCCACGCTCCCTGCCTCCTCCTTCCGGCTCAGCTGGCTGCGCCTGGGCCACAGCCCGGCCGTGGGCTCCATCACAGAGACCCTGGTGCAGGGGGACAAGACGGAGTACCTGCTGACGGCCCTGGAGCCCAAGTCCACCTACATCATCTGCATGGTCACCATGGAGACGGGCAACACCTACGTGGCCGATGAGACGCCCGTGTGCGCCAAGGCGGAGACAGCCGACAGCTACGGCCCCACCACCACACTCAACCAGGAGCAGAATGCCAACCCCATGGTCGGCCTGCCCCTGGCGGGCATCATTGGGGGCGCTGTGGCCCTCGTGTTGCTCTTCCTGGTCCTGGGGGCCATCTGCTGGTACGTGAACCGGGCCGGGGACCTCCTGACCCGGGAGCGGGCCTACCACCGAGGCAGCCAGAAAAAGGACAGCTATCTGGAGTCGGGGACCAAGAAGGATAACTCCATCCTGGAACTCCGAGGCCCGGGGCTGCAGATGCTGCCCATTAACCCTTACCACGCCAAAGAGGAGTACGTGGTCCACACCATCTTCCCCTCCAACGGCAGCAGCCTCTGCAAGGGCACGCACACCATCGGCTACGGCACCACCCGGGGCTACCGTGGCGGCGGCATCCCCGACGTAGACTATTCCTACACATGATGCCCGCCGGGCCGCCCGCCCCCGCTCCCACCTCCTCCTGGCGCGGCGACCCCGCGGCTTTGCCCCGCTTGCTGCCATCCGGCACAGCAAGGAGAAGAAACTCCACGGCGACTTTCCCAGCAAAAAGCAGCGTTGGGGGAGGGCTGACACTTTTCTAGAACACAGCCGAGAAAACAAGTTTTTTTAAGGACAGAAGATGGGAGGGGGGTGGGTTGACGTTGCTGAAGACATAATTTATACCAAATTATGCCAGTTGGGGAGGGAAGGACTAAAAATAATATTGCAGGAAGGGTTGGGTCAGGGCGTTTTCCCCTGAAGTGGAAAGATACTACCTGTACCGCCTCTGTGCGCGCCTCCTGCCCTGTTCAGGGCCGTCACGAGGGGACCGTCGGAGAGAAGCCGCCGTGGGACACGGACGCCCCCGCGCAGCGCTCGCTGCCAGCCGCTCCCCGGCAGCGACGAGATGGGAGAGGCTCGGGCCTCTCACCAAGGAGAGCGGGAGGAAGAGCTTTTCTTCAGTCTCTCCCCGGTTCTCCCCCTACCATTTCCCTCGCAGATTTCCAGAAATACCGCGTCTTCTACTGCGTTCTTTGAACAATGATGTAACCGATTAAAAACTAAACTCCCTTTTTCCTATCGGAACCCTCTCCACTTCCATGGACCACACGCCGTGGAAGCCCCCTGGAAGCTGTGGCCTTCCCGGCCACTTGGAATCGCGTCTATCCACCATCGCGAGGTGCGTCTCTGAACTCGGACGGGTCGATAGAGCCGCGGAGACGGTCCTGACCCCGCTTCTTGGGTCGGTTCGTACCATTTCTTGAGACAATAGAGTCATGAACATGTTGCTTTCCCCTAACAATCATTGAGTAAGTAGACACGGTGTGTTGGGGATCGGAGTGGGGTGGGGGGACAATGCCGTTCCTAAAGGCAGAGGCGTGTCTGTTCTGGGCGGGTGGCTGCGGGGACCCTGGGCAAGGGATGCTTCCAGTTTGATCCTATCTCAGGTTGCCCAGAGCTGGGCCATGCTCCTTTCTGCTATAGAGAAACTTCCTTTAACTGCCAGTATCTTCATCCCCCCCTCCCCCGCCCCCCACACACACATGTAGTCACCTCAGTACTCCTTCTCTGTGCTCTGCTTCCTCCTGGGACAGGTAGCTGGTGCAGGGATGGGTTCTGTGTGTTCTTTTACATCAGCTGATTAGACTTAATGGTTTCCATGGCTGCTCAAACAACACCCAGAAAAAGACATGAAGATTCTCAGAAAACCCCCGGGGAGAGACTCCTGAGTGCAAAACACTCAGCTGGACTGTTCCAGAGGCGGAGGCCCAGGTCTCCCGAGAAACAAGCCGGCCCCCAAAAGGGCAGTGAGCGGGGCCCTCCCAGAGTTAAGGCTGATGGCCTCCCCTGGAAGCAGCGTGGCCGTCATTTATCAGCTGACGGTGCAGCCTGGCGAGCCGTGAGACGAAAACGACAAAATAACTACACAAACCCGGACGGAAGAGCGGAGGGCGCCCGGGTTCTGCTCGCTCTGCGTCCCTGCTCTCGGGAACAGGTCGCCCTCCGTCAGCATGCCATGTGCCCTGCACCGGGCAGAGCGGTGTCAGAGGAGCGGCGATGGCCGGAGGGCAGGGAGGATGAGAAGGGGTCCAGCTGCTGGTGGCGGCGTTTTCAAAAGGCCTCAGCTGCTCTGACAAAAGCCAGAGGCAGGAGGGCGAGACTGAACAGCGGTCCCAGGGCCTGGGCTGACAGCTCGATGGACATGAAAAGGTGCTGCTGGCCCTTCAGGGGAGGGGGTGGGCAGGAACGGACACGAGACCCGCGTGAGATGGAGGAGAGACGCGGCCGGGCTCGCCGTGGCCTGGCCGACAGAAGGGTCCCACCAAGTGGGGCTCCCCGCTCCCCAGCCCCAGGGTCAGGCTGAGGGGCAGGGACACCCTGCATTCGAAAACAAACCTTTTTCCCTTTTCCTGTTTTCTCAGTGTCAGGAGAGAGATTTTCCAAGCCTTAATTCCACGTGTGTATAAAGGTGGCCTCCCTTTGGCCTGTGGGGCCTCCAGACACAGGCTCGTCCCCATTCCCGGCAGCGCGGAGGGGCAGAGGGGCGCCGGGGGGTGGCCCGGAGGAGAGGGTGCGCGCACGGGAGTGGGGCGCTGGCTGGAGGGCAGGCGTCTGTGGTCTCTGCTGTTTCTGAAGTGAGGTTCCCTCCCTCAAGGCACCACTCCTGCCTTCCGCCAGTGTCCCAGGAAAGTTGGTCCCTGGACACCCCACTATCAGCCCCCAGGCCCCCCACTGCCAACGTGCTCAGTCCCCCCTCCCACTCGAGGCCCTCCCTCCTCCTCTCCCCAGGCCAGGCGGAGGTCAGGTCATCCCTCCGAGGCTGGGAAGGCACCGGGGGCAGTAGGGGACCCAGTCCGTGAGGCTGCGTGTAAGGGAGGGGGGCCTTGCAGGCCTCGAACCAGCCTGTGCGGAACATTCCCCCCAGAGCATTAAGCAGGCCTGGCCCCGCCCAGCCCCAGGACAGAGTCCCTCTCCTACTCCAGCTCTTGCAGGACCAGCGCTCAGGCAGGGCTCACACGGGGGCTCAGAGCCCAGGCCCTGCCTGACTCGCCGCGCATCGTCCCACCCCTGTAGGCGCAGAAGTTCGTGGAGACCTGGCCCAGCCAGCGCCCTGGGGCCCGCCCTCATCTTTTCTGCCCTAAGCACCCCAACATCTTCCCAGCGTTCTGTCTGAGAGCGGGACCGGGATGTCTGCTGCCTCACGTCCCCGCAAGCCAGGGAGGGGCCTAAAGCCAGGTCCACTCTGAAACCCCACTCCCTCCCGATCCAACTCCCCCGCAGCTGGCCACATAACCACGAGAGGGGGGATGTCCCAGGGCCCCCGCCCCACCCCCCTGGACGCATGTGAGGACACAGGGCCCGTGAAGACAAGCCGGGACCTGGGCCACCACTTCTGTCTAGAATCTGCCTTCGGTGGGTGGCCCGCCGGACCCTGGCAGCCTCTAACCAGCCAGGGCAACCTTGCTGGCCTCGGCGGGGACGAGTGCATTTTGTGGCATTTAAAGCAGGTTTAAAGCAAAAAAAAAGCCCACGACATTTCTTTGGTTGGTTAAGTGGTTTACCCTTCGTGGTAATTAGATGTAGTGATTGGACTCTCTTTTCTATTACATGGCAATTTTCCTTTAAATTTCCCCTTTAAAAAAAAAACCAGGAAGGAGAGCAGGGAAGGAGAGGAGGCAGCAGGGCCAGGCGAGCCATTTGCATTTTGCGAATGAGGCCTCTAAGCTCAGCTCAGGCGTTGGGCCCAATGTATGGAATGCTTCAGAGATGACTAAGAATAAAACCTATTAATTAGTCATACTCGGCTCCACAGACATGACGTGCATCGAAAGCTCCTTTTCTTCCCTGTTCTCCGTCCCTCTTCCTGTGGCCTCCTGAGGAAGCCTCCATCTTCTCCTTGAAATTGGCTCCGGCTTCCTGGCCGCCTCCATGGTAACAGGCCGGTGGCTAACCAGGGGGCGAGCCCGCCCAGGGCTGCGGTGCTGGGCTCGGGGGCAGGAGCTGGGGCAGTGGCTTCTCACTCTGGGTGATGCTGGCAGAGGAGGTGACAGCAGCTGGGAAGATGGCAGTGGCTGGGGGGCCCAGGCTTCCCCACCCAAAGCCTGAATGAAGGCCATGCCTGCCTTGTGCCTCTCCTCCCTCCCTTGACGGGTCCAGGGAAGCCCACCAGCCCCAACAAGGGGAGCCCAAGGCCAGGCAGAGAGGGAGGAGGGGCTGGGGGGCCCCCAGAGAGCTACGGGGAAAGTGTGCTTTGCAAATCCACAGCTTCTGTTTCCCCCCTGTCAAGTGGGGGTGGGCTGAGGTGGCGCCTGGCTGCACCCAGTAAGCTGGATGCTCCAGAGCCCACCTCCCTCCGCGCATCCTGGAACTAGTTGGTCCAATACAGGTGACGGAGGACCAGAGAGGAGGGACAGCCAGGTGAGGGACGCCCGTGGGTCTGAGCAGGCTGATCGGAGCCTGGAGACGGGGCTGGGCAGCGCGCCTGGGGCTGCATCCGAGCCTCCCTCCTCACCCCCTGGGAGCTGGGGTCCGAGGGGAGGGCGCCCTGCCCCCCAGAAAATAGCAGCACGAGTCCCAAAGCCAGCCCACGCCACTCCAGACACCTGCGTCTGCTGAATGCACCAGGGAGGAGGACTGGGCACCTGAGGCTGATGCTGATGAAAAATACAAGGAAAATTGGATGCGGCAGACAGGGAGCGACGGGGCTGGGGCACCTGCTGGAAGGAGGGGCCTCAGGGTGCACGGCAGTCTGTCCCCCCCAGGACCAGACCGAGCTCTCAGGGCCAGGACGTGGACAGGGTCAGCTGTGGGCGTCCCATGAGCCCAGGTCCCCTCCTGCGTTCAATCGGCGCAGGTGATGGGCAACAGACACCTGGCGCTGGATCGCTGCCAGGCTGAGTGCTAACAAGCAATTCACAGCCTTCCAGAATGCAGGCCGAGGAGCATCCTTTTTTCCTGAGGAGGGATGAAAGGCTCAAAAATGCAAATCATTACCATTTACAACCAAGCGAGTCTGCTAAATTGATTAGGAAAGATTAAACTCCTCGGAGGTGAAGGAAAAGGGGATTTTTCGAGTTTTATGAACCTGCCCCCAGTGACCATGCGTGTAGCAGGGATTTGACAAGCCGGGCTCAGGGGCTGCCTCTTTGCAGCTGCTGGGGGAGCGGAAGGCCGACACCACCCAGGCCAGAGCGCTCGGCGTGCCCGGGGTTGATGAAGCTGGGGCTCAAGCATTGCCCTCGGAGAAACCAAGTCTGCCTCCGTCCGGGGCCTTGTGCTCTGGCTCTGAGACAGGGTGGGCTACTCGGCCCTGACAACAGTCACTCAGAAGCTGTCCCCGCCCCCAGCAGAGCCTCTCCCCCTGCCCTCCAGATTCTGTCCGCCCGCAGCCGTCCAAAGTGAGGGGAAGTGGCCAGGCCAGTCACTTAGAGAGTAGGACTGGAGCCATGAGCTTTTCTGCTTCTTTCTGTTTCAGGATGGGTGTGTCTCCGATCCATCCGTTCCCTGCAGTCAGTGGAAGGGGCGTGGGGCCAACTGTAAAGGGAAAAGGGAAGGCAGGGAAGAGAAATTGGCCTAGCAGAGGAGTCAGGCAGTGAGCTCTCCGTCACAGGGAGCATTCAAGTACTTGATGAGGCTATGGCAGGGATTTTCCTGGTTCTTGGACTAGAAGGTCCTGGTCCCCCCGCCCTTTATGTTATCATCCCCAGGACCCTGAAAGGGAGACATGGAGAGGATGACTGTGCTGCTCCGAATGACCGGTGTCCTCTGAAAACCCCAGACCAAGGCCGTCCCCCAGCCCCTCAAAGAGCTGCCTGTGCTACAAAAGAGAGGCCACGAAATTCCCACCCTCGGTGTCCCCTGGGAGAGGCAGCACAGACATCACCACTCCATCCAGGAGTCTGGGCAGGGGGTTCAGAGGGTGGCCCACCCCTGGGGCCACCTCCCAGCCTCGGCTCCGGTCCCAGCTGCCTCCTGGACCTGCTCGCACTGCCAGGGCCCCTGCCACGCCGAGCTCCCCGCACCGTCCCACCGGCTGTTTTCCTAACTCAACACCCTCAGCGCTGC